CGTTCAGAACTGCAACATTTTAAAATTTATTATGTTTCTCAAATGTGTGTCGTTCGCCACACAAGCGTGATGCCGTCACGCCTCACAAACACTAGTCCTGGTGGACACATATGCATGCCCCTCGGCACGAAGTTAGAAACAGAAGCATTTCTGTATTATCACAGAAACCCTCGTCGAACCCTTCTTCTTCACATTTTGTTTAAACATATGCCTTAACTACATGGAACCTGTGCCTATTTCACTTCCTCCATTATCATTGTCATAAAAATCCACTAAACCCCACTTATTACCCTTATTATATTTCTCTACATAAATCATCTCCAAACCCATTCCATTCCAAAAACCCCCAATTTCTCACACAAACTCCTACCCATATTCCATCTTTTCATCAACAATGGCACGAAGAGGTTCACGACCAGAGCCAGATCTTTCCGAAATTACTTTTCAAAATGGAAAAGCCGGAGAGCACCAAAGAGCGCAATACCTCAAATTCTATCAACGGTTCTTAGTCCATACACAATATGTTGATACTGAGTACTTGCGAAAATTAGGATTGCTCGATAGTGTATAGTGGTTACTCCATAACTCTGACTTAGCATTCATCTGCACACAGAATCTTCTAACATACGAGTCGTTGAATGTTCAACGATGAATATTCTATTAGTCAATCTACTCTGAGTGTTTTCTTTTGTTTCGCTCGCGAAGGAGTGGTACACCACTGTACTCCTGAAGACCTAGATTGGGCATCTATAGCTTTCAAGCTTTGGAAAGCTCTTACTGATAAGGAACCGAATAGCTGGGAGGGACTTTATGCTTCACCCATTCATAATCCTGCAATCAGGTATTTCTATTGTGTTATCTCCAACACCATTTTTGGGAGGTTTAACAATAACAAGGTTAACTCTAAAGAATTGTTCCTCCTCCATTGTACCTTCACTCCCAACCAAAGGGTCAATGCAAGCACGTTCCTTCTATCACATATCCAATCTTTGGGTGCAAGAGGGTATACGTCTTTCTGCATTGGAGGGTTAGTCACCTCTATAGCACTTGGCCTTCGCCTCGAAGACAAACTTGCAAATTTGCCACCACTACCGCCCATTTTCATTGACATCGACAACTGTCGGTATGGCCACTTGATTAAGGTCAGAAGAGATGGTAGGTACAACCTTATGGTGCACAACAAGGTAGTTCCTAGTGTCATTTTTCCGAACTTTGCACTTACTAATATTACAGACTTGTCTAAGTGGCTTTATGACCTTGATGCTCCTGCACCTAGAGATAATGTGCAAAGCAACCAGGGGAATGTCCAAGCTGATGAAATGGAGCAAGAAATGGAATAAGGAGACACTTAACAACAAGCTCCTCCTGAAAACGTTGTAAGCACGTCCATAAGGCCCATAAGAATACGAGAGAGAGTACCGGCCTCGAATGATGACATTATGGCTGCCATAATGGAACAGGATGAGAGAGTGTAGGATATGCAAAACAACAAAAATGAAATGATGCAACCTATGCTGGCCATGCAAACTCAGCAGCAAGAATATGACGAAAGAAACGAGCGATGGGCTACAAGATTAATTGAGGAAATGACGACCTTAACTGTACACATGAATGGTTTTCAAGATTATGTATACCATATGGCCATGCCCCATCCTCCGGGTGCACGAGGACGAGGAAGAGGACGCAATAATGAACAAGAATAGATTGATTTTTTGCTTCTCTTCCTGTTTCCTTTTTGTTTTTAAGCATTGGGACACTGCTTGTTTCAAGCTTAGGGGAGTTAGTTAGTTTATAAACTCTTTGTTTCTTTCTAAGTAGAATCTTTCATTCCCATTTGTATTTCTTGTAATCAAAAACATCTTTGTATTTTCGAGTTCGTTTATGCAATTTTTCCGCTGTTATCTAATTTCCCACTTTCTTGAGCCATAACAATTTTTTTTCTATTACTTGCATAATCTGACGCATTTGAAGAATATATAGGTTGCTCACATTTTAAAAGATATATGAGAAACTTTGAGTGAAACAGAAGTACGATGGATATTGTCGTAACACTCTAAATCTCCAGATTGCACTAGATCGATTTCAGTATCCTTTATGCCGAAACCTTAAACTTTAGCTTTAAAGTAGTCCCGAGTAGTTTATCTAACAGTCATCACCATCTTAAACATAAACTACGTAGGGAGTCAATGAATATAAGGGAATGATCCACTGTATTTGAAAGATACGTGCCTTACTGTAAGAAAATAGGGAATGCACCAATTAAGTTAGGCGACCCTCACACGATCACTTAATCCAACGGATGTAGTACCTACATGATACACCATAGTAACCCATTGTCGGTTGGTTCAGAGGTGTCTGGTACTGAACTTGGTAGGGGGACTACGGTCTGATCCCCTGCAACTTGAAATTGGGTAAATTAAAGGAGGTTACCGTATTTATGTTCCAGAACCTCATACTTAAAAGGATCATAGTCACTAACCGACTACTCTACTATGTTCTTGTAAAGATAAATGACCTAATGTGATTGCGCTAGAATGAAAACGGGTAAAATTTAGCGAAAAGAATTAGGTTGAGCTATAATGGCATGACTGGAATTGGTCTGCACAATGAGGGATGTTTAGTGTTATTACCGTATCTTTTGTGTTATGTTGAGCTTATGTTTCCGCAAAAACATTGGCAACCTCTTATGATTTGAATCGCATCATGAAAATGCATTTAACTTGTGCCTTATTGGTTTTTATACTAACTTTATTGCTTGAGGACAAGCAAAGGTTCAAGCTTAGGGGAGTTTGATAACGCGAAAAGATATAGCATTTTCCGCCCGATTTACATAGATTAAATTTCCGATTCTTCAATTATTATGTCACATTTTGTCCCTGTTTGTAGTATTTGCAGCTTTTGTAAGGCATAAATGAGAAAATGAAGAAAAATAATGGAAAAATAAGAAGAAATGGCCAATTAGCAGCAAAATGCAACATTCTGTAATCAAAAGCGTGCCGCCCGCCACAGCTCGCGCCGACCGTCACAAATTGGAAAAGCGTGCCCCTCGGGACGCTTCATGTCTTGACCGACATAGACTCAGGATGCATGCCCCACGTAACAACACACATGACGCTCACCACGATCCATATAACAATTACGAACCTTTCTCCATTTGACGCACTAAACGCATAATCACTTGGATTTTCTCCATGCTTCAAGAACGGGAATTATGGGACGTTTCCTATTTTCTCTCACTATTTGGAATGTATAAAAGGGAATCAGTTACCAACATGAAATCTCTCGACACCTGCTACCATTTTACTTTATTATTATTTTCAGTTCATAGTTTTTGCAATTACTTTTCCAGTTTTAGAATTTCGTAAGCATTAGAAAAAAACCCACCATCAAAGCAGTATTTTTCCACATCGGATGAATACTGCAACACTAGTTTTCTTTCCATACTTCCAGAATTCGTTTAGGATTATTTTCATTTCTGCAACGCCTTTTATTATTTCAAGTCAATCATGCCGGCTTGTAGAAAATACACACTGATCAGATTTATTGCTTCAATATTTAATTAGAGGTTCCTATTTTAAAGTATAATTTATTTGTTCTTACCATGCATGCGATATTAATTTATGTTTTAATTTTATGTTGTCCTGCAATAAAATTATATCTGGCTAAATACTCTGATACCGGTATGTAAATATTAACGAATGGATTCGATAATTAATTGACATTAATATTTTTTACAAAGAAAAACACTTTCTGATTTTAATTTCCAATTTGGATATTTAATTGTTTTTGCACGAGAGTAAAAGACAGTCTAAGGTTAAAATCAACAGAGCGAAAGTTTGAGGTTTTAACCGGATAGTGGTTATTAAACATTAAATTTTTAAAAACAGAGAGCGCTTTAAAATTAATTGGACTCTAATTGTTTAAAAAAAATACTTTTGAGCTTTAAAATAAAACAGCGAGAGCGTTCATTTTGAGTTTAATAATATGACCTAACTCGATAGAACTAAAGTGTGAGACGAAGGTTTTTAAATAAATAGTTTCCACTAAAACAATGTTTTAATACTGAAAACAAATGTCAATTTATTGAAGCCCTGAAGTTGACAAGTACATATCGGTGTCCCGTTATTAACTACTAGATTTTAGTTAATTTCTTATTAAATTCAAACACCCAAATTTATTATTTAGCCTTAACTTTATATATAAACCCTAAGATAACAGTAGTTTGACCATCAATCCTTGTGGATTCTATATCTTTTAAAATTACGCGATAAGACTGTGCACTTATAATTACTATTTCCGATAGACTCATAAAATCCCTATTAAATATCTGAATTAAATTGATAAAAAATAAACGTTCTTTCTACATATCTTAAACATAGAGACATTTAAAAAAATTTGTTGAGGTTCCTAAAAATATATAAGGGTGCACAAAGATATTCCCTAAAGAATATGGATACACAAACATGAAATGGGATATTGCATGAATTGTTCATTCTTGTGTGCTATAAGATATGACTATGAGGAGCCTATAGCTCTATATTTTACTGTCCCGTCCATAGCATGCTTAACCATTTATCTACCCCCAATGCAATCTGCATGGTTACCATTACAATATTGCTAATGCTCTTGTCATTGTCACATAACAAAATATATCGCTACTACATTGTTCAGAATTAGTTACTACTACTCACTAGAATTACTAATTACTCCAACGGATTTTGTCTCCTTCTCACTGCAATAATTTAAGTTGGCAAAAAAAAAAAAAACATTAACCCATGAATAAAATAGTAGCACAAATAAATAACTTCAAAGTAATTATGAGTAAAAGAATAAGTTTTGCTTTCAAGTTTCACCATACATACTCTAAATAAACAATTCTTCACTACTACACCACCATCACTATCATTTCCATTTACACTTGTCGAATTCAAAACTCTTTTCCTAATTAGAGTAAACAGATAAGAGTATTTCCTTACTAGTCAAAAAAGACAAAAACATCTTCACCCATCCCATGTGAAGCTTAACAACCACCCCACCAAAACCAAAACCAACATAAGAGGATCAAAATGCAGCAAAGAATCCCCATTGAAAAGGACATCATCATGATCAGGAAGAATATCACTTATTTTGTAGGGATTAAGTTGACCCAAACTTTCACCATTTTGAGAAGAACAGCTTGCATTGTTTCCCAAACACAGCCCTATATTTCCTGCCAACTTTAACTTCTGTTCTACTCTACTTGGCAAAGAGATCCTACCACTCAAATTGTTGTTCTCCAAATTGATCTCATTAGCAAACTCCAAAAGCCCAAATTCTTGAGGAACAGAGCCATCAAGTTTGTTGTTATCAAGGCCAAGATAAGAGAGATTTTTCAAATAAGTCCCCATTGAAACTGGGATTTTACCTACTAAGCCCATTTTAGAAAATCCAATCTTTTCAACACCACCAAGGTTTTCCCATATTTCTGGAATTTGACCAGAAAGTAGATTCCCACTTAAATAAACTTCCTTTAAAGTTGAAATTTCTCCTAAGAACAAAGGGACGCCAAAATTACCAAAAAGGTTGAAACTTAGATCCAAAAACATCATATTTTGCAAGTGGGTAAAACTCTCTGGGATCTTACAACCAAATCCATTGTAGCTTAAATCGAGCTTCAAAAGCGAAGTGAGATTCCCAATCTCTTGGGGAACACACCCTTTGAAGTCGTTCTGACTGAGGTCGAGAATCTTGAGCTTCTTCAGCATTCCGAAACTCGGTGGAATCATGCCGGAGAGATTGTTTGTAGAAAGAGTTAACTCTTCGAGGTTTGTATAATCGCCGATATTTAAGGGAAGTTCACCTTGGAAGGCGTTTCCGATCAAGACAAGTCTCCTGAGAGAGGTGAGGTTGCGGAGAAAAAGGTGGAGCGGGGAAACGAAAGAAGGGTTTTGAATGAAGACTAGCTCTTGGAGAGATGGAGGGAGAGAAGGAAGTGGGTTTTGTGTGTTGTTGAAGCATTTGTAGAAGAAGAGTTTCTGAAGGTAGGGGAAAGAGGTGAAGAGAAGAGGGTTAAGTGTGGCGTTAGGGGAGCAAGGTGGGTTAGGTGTTTCATCGGAAACGTAGCCGAAGTTGAGTTCAACAATGTGTGCTTTTTGTTGCTGGTTTTGAACATTGTGATCATCGGAATCAGAAGGGTAGTAGTCGCAAACGACGCCGTGTGGGGCGGAGAGACAGAGGTCATCGGGGTAGTCAGTGGTCCATGGAATGGCTGGGTTGAGGGAGTTGAGGACATCGTATAAAGCTTTCTGTTCGAGTGGGTCAATGGGAGGTTGACCTTGAGAGAGGGAAAGAGAGATGAAGAAAAAGAAGAAGAATGTTGAAAAGAGAACCATCCTAGAAGAAAAGAAAAGTGGAATGTGGATTGGTTTGTTATGCTGAGGATTGTGTGTTGGTAATAATACTATGTAGAGTCAATTGAGATGGGACAGAGTTTGTTGAGAATTGTGTCCTAAGTTGTCAATATTGAAAAGACTAAAATAACCTTGGGTGGTTGTAGTAAATGTAAGTGGTGGAAGGTGAAAAAGAAATACACAAGAAAAAGACAAGATATAATGATTATTGTAGTGAGTGGGATGGACAGAAAAGTGCAAAAGAAGGTAGACAGATATGCGCCGCATTCGCCGATAAACAGTGTCGCCTACAATACTGGCTACAGAGCGACATGTAATGTAACAAAACTAACCACATCACGTGATCAACTCTCTCTCACTCTCTCTCTCTTCAATCAAACAACTATCTACTCCTGTTCTACTTATAGCCACACTGGCTATTGCCTTTACTTGTTTTCTTCTTTCACACTCTATATTCTCTGGTGTTGGAGTTAATTTTTATTCTTTCATAGCACTTCATTCATTTTTTCATCTTTACCATTTTAATGTGTTATAGATCATTTTTTAAATTTGTAAGGTGTTACATCCCGCATAATTTATGGGGCCGGATCTATATTCAATTTTAAAATAGTCCGTCTTTCGATTTAATTGACAAAGCATTTAAGGCAGATTAAAAACAATAAAAAATCATTAATGATCAATTTAGACAACGAAATAAAGGATATGAATACATTTAATCTTCTTGCTGAGACAAGGAGACAAACACCTTAATTGTCAATATACTGCTAATTAAGAATGAAGAAGAAGGAGATCTTATATAAACAAGTCACACTCACATAAAAATAATCTACAATTTTACATAAAACACACAAACACTCAAATATTCCACAGAAAATCTTTATTAACCATTGTCAATAGAGTTAAGAATGCGACCTCTCTCACCAACATCATATAAGTTTTTTAATTTTCAATGTTGTGTTAATATTGTCAATTTTATAAATGTGGATTAAAAAAAATAAGTTATGGTTCTTTTTATTAGATTTAAAAAGTTAACGGTTTTTAGTATTTTTTTTAGAAGTTCAAATTTAACAATTTTTTTTAGACAATCAACCAATAGAAAGTTACAATTTACTATGTCATTAAAAAAGTTTTAAAATAAAAATAAGGTATAATTCATTACATAGTTGTGATTGGTTGACGGTGTAAAACTATTTCACTATTAATGCATCACTTGTTTTCTCTTAATCAGAATAATTTGTATACATTTTCATTGTAAATTTTTTTACATAATCAATCGAAAATTAACAATTTACTATTTCATTAAAAAAGTTTTAAAATAAAAATGGGATATAATTAGATACATGTTGTTATTGATTGAAAGTGTAAAATTATTTTACATTGTCAGTGAATCACTTGTTTACTTTTAATGAGAATAATTTATATACATTGTCAATGTAATTTTTTTTACACAATCAACTAATAAAAAATTAACAATTTACTATGTCATTAAAAAAGTTTTAAAATAAAAGTAGGATATAATTGAATATATAGTTGTGATTGATTGATGGTGTAAAACCATTTTATACGGTGAGTGTATAATTTGTTTTCTCTTAAAAAGAATAATTTATATACACTATCAGTATAAATATTTTTACACAATCAACCAATAGAAAATTAATAATTTATTATTTTATTAAAACAAATTTAAAATAAAAATGAGATATAATTAAATATATAACTGTGATTGGTTAACACTATTTTATTATGCTAATCCTTTGTTTTTTCTTAATTTATTAGTATTTGTGACTGTAATTTTTTTTTGGTAATGACAAGTACTATTGCATATACTTACTTGAATGAGTTTGTTGGAATGTTGAAAAAGAAAAAAGAAAGAGTTATTTATTGAGGACATTGTTAACGGACTCTTTTTATTAACCCACATTTCTTTTTAGTTATTGTTTTCTTACGGTTATGGTCGAGTCTTAAGTGTCTCTTTAGAAACAAAATGTACTTTATACAAACATTTATTTTACGGTGGTTCAGGTAAAAACTAAGTCGTCCCTCATTTTTTTCAAAGATAAAAAGTTGTTTTTTTTCTTCGTTTGACTTTATGTAAAGTGGAATTTTTATAAGGGTAAAATTGATTTTGATGGTTTTATTTATAAAAAATACTTCCTCTCTCAAATTCATTTTACTAAAAATATTTATTTCAACTTATAAGTCATTTTGAGTTTACAATCTATCATTGATGTTTTTTTTTAATATATTTTTTATTATTTATTTCTCTTTTTTCTTTCTATTTTTTAAATTTTGATTTTCAATATAATTATGGAAGAACACTTTTATAAAGTCATAACATTATTAAATAATAATTGTATTTCTTAATTCGTGTGAAAGTGTAAAAATGTCATATAATTTAGAATCGAAGGAATAATAATTATGACCTCCGAAATTAATTCTAGATTCAATTAAAATTTGTAACTTTTAAGTATAAATGTAAAATTTATATTTAACTTACTTTTATATAATTAACTCAATAATTCTCCTTCATGCATAATCGGTTGGTGAACAAAAGTTGAAGATAAATAATAAATATGGAAGAAGAGAGAGGAAGAAAGACGGTTGTACTACAACAACAATTTGTTAAAAAAGGAATTTTATATTATATTTTTATTAAAATCTTAATTACATAATTGCTTATATACACAAAATAAATTGTCACGTAGGTCAGAATAAAAGTAAACTGAGTTAACAAGCAAACTAGGACTCCATAAGCTCATCTATATTATATCTATATGTTTATGACCTGACATCATTAAGATATGGCATTTAGAGTTCCCTCGTAATGATGGGACCTTAACTCCCGTTGTCGCCATTATGAAGTGTAACACCTCATTTAACGTCCCTGAAACTCTTTCATATTTATGTAACCGTCGAGCCGGTATAGCACCCCGATTATCCGAATTGGCATGTCACGAACTTCACCGATTTATACATCGCCAACTTGTACATCCTCGAATAAGGATACTTCTAGCATAATCCAACTTTATATCATTCACCCGTAATACACATCAATCTTCTTACTATTATCTCGACCTTAGATGTTCGAGCTAAGAATCAACATACATATTTTTAATATGTGCAGTCTTACAATAAAATTGTCTATTTTTATAAGTTTAATTTTAACAAAGTGATAAAAGCTATTTTTGGAAATCTAAATCAACCATCATTTGAATGACGGCCAAAAATTGCATGATGTATGCTTTTGATTTGATTTTGGTATGTCCTTCTCATACGAAGCTGTTCAACCTATTTTCTTTCAAGTTTCACACAAAATCTTGATACAATATGAATAGAAACATATATGTATATGTCATCCTAATAAACAATATCATAATCCAACTTTTCAATGTATATTCAAGATGATGATAAAAATTAAATAAAGAACATATGCATAATTCTTTCTTTCTTTTTTCCACCTAATCAAAAGAAAATATTATTTTTACATTTCCACGTCTTTAATTTCCTTGCCCAGTTGAAAAGAAAAAGAAAAACTAAATAACAAATTATAAATGAATCTAGATAAAAAAGTTCTATCAAGCAAATAAAAACAACTAATATAGATGTTTGGATCCAGATCTACTATAAGTCATAAGTCATACTACATGGACGAGTTCAACCTGTCTCTTAGAATTTAGGAAAAATAGAAAGACTATCTTAACTTGTGTCTGGTTCGTTTCAAAGATGAAGTGTCTCAAATATAAAAGAAATTTTTTATTTTATTCTATATTTTTCTTATGCATCATGCAAAATTTCATAAATGTTTCTAAAAAATAAAAATATATTTCTGATGCATATTAAATTCTGATAAACTATATATTAGAATCAAAATTTAATTTCCGGTTTTGATATAAAGAAATAATTCCGATTTTATACTACACAAACCAAAAAATCATCATTGAATTACACCAATATAACAAACTCAAAATACAATGAATAACATAAACATATGAATACATTAATGATTTTAACACAAATCGAACATTACAAATCAACGTCCACATGGACGTTGCAACATCATGATAATATCATCGACCAATCTTGAAATAGTAGCATCTAGCTCGATCAGAACTTTCTCCTCAAAACTGATAAAAGTATTCCACATAGCTCGAATATCAGCGTTGCCCTTCAGCTCACGGTTGTTGAACACAAGCTTCTCATCTTTGTCAAGAGATGGCGAGCGGTACTCCATCTTCACAATTTTGCGATTGTTCGCCATAAGATAGCAGGTCCTGCAATATGTCTTGCAGATCTTCAAGGGACGTATACTTGGTGAACTTAAATTCGCGTGATGGTGTAGCATCGGTAAAGTGGACGACTCCAACATGTCATTTGATGTTCATTTCTAGTTTTTGGTGTTGTGGTATGAAACAATATAACAAGTGAGATTATTTATAATAGTTGGAGACAAACATGAATTATACAAATCATATCCCTGTGTCAGAGTTAAAATCGGAATTGCACTTCCGATTTTATATAAATTGGAACTTGAAATATATTTCCGGTTAGTCTCTTGGGAGTGAAAAACCAGAAACAGAACAAAAATATCTCTACCGGTGCATTCATGCATCCATGATTTTCTCCACAATAACACCCGCCTTGACCAATTTTCCATCTTCCCTTGCAACCTGTTTTGTCCCCACCGCAGGTTTAACCCGACTTCTCATATTTTTTGTAATATGGTACCTACAAAGTAATGCATAAGAAGTGGAAAATATCGTTGCAACCGAATTCATTAATGTTGTATCTCGGTCGGTAACAATGACTTTCGACACATCTTCTTGATCCTTCAACATTGACCTACAAACCTCTAAAGCCCATATAAAGTTGTCCTCTTTTTCGCACTCTAGAAATGCAAAACCAACATAATACGTCTTCTCAGTCGATGTAACATCGACAATTTCCAACAATGAAAGTCTGTACTTATCGATCTTATACGTTGA